CCTTGGTTGTAAGTATTACTATAGGGATTATAAACCCTTTGGGGAGGTCCTGGAAAGTTCCCTACTGTATTAACTTGAGCAGATGTGTCATCTTGAATCAGTGGACAACCGTCTGTTGGATGATCAAGTAATACACATATTCCACATAATTTGTTGGTTCCAATCTTACATGTAGCAAGAGAGCTGACTACTTCAGTTAATTTATCTATCTTACTTTCTAAGGAAGATGAACTTATATTGTGAACCATTCGAGGAGGTTCATTGGTTGGGCAGAATTGTTGAGAATTTGCGGCCATCGTGGAAATTAAATCCCTAGCCTCAGTAGGAGTCATGTTCACTAAAGCTCCTCTGCTGGCAGCATCGATCATCTTCATTCCCAAAGGAGTTAATCATTCATAAAAATTTTGAAGGAGTGTTTGCTTAGTTAACCCATATTGTGAGCAACTAGCACAAAACTTTTTAAATCTCTCCTAGTAGTCATAGAGTGACTTTCACTCTTGTTGATTGATTCCTAGTATTCTTCTTCATAACTCACTTGCTTTCGCCATACGAAAAAACCTATCAAGAAAAAGAGACGAGTCATTTGTGCCCATGTGGTAATAGAATTTGGGGGTAAATAAAATAACCATTCCTTAACTGAATCGGATAAGGAAAAAGGAAAAGCTCTAAGTTTGATTTGGGCCTCAGTTACTCCTTGTGGTTTCATGATAGAGCAGACCATGTGAAATTTTGTGAGATGTTTATGTGAATTCTCGTTTGGTAATCCGTAAAAGGTAGGGAGGAGATGAATAATGTCAGTTTTTAACTGGTATGGAGCTTTAACTTGGAGAAAATCAATGTATAAAGGTTCTTGTTCAATAGGAGATGCGACTTACTCTCTGATAGTGGGATTGGCCATTAGATTTGATTATGTATTAATGGATTCGCCTGAACTTGATTATGAATTTGATTGTTGTTGTCTCGGTATGGAGCTTTAACTTGGAGAAATCAATGTATAAAGGTTCTTGTTCAATAGGAGATGCGACTTACTCTCTGATAGTGGGATTGGCCATTAGATTTGATTATGTATTAATGGATTCGCCTGAACTTGATTATGAATTTGATTGTTGTTGTCTCCTTCTTTCTCGAAGTGTTTGTACGTGAAGTCTTTGAGCTCTAGCTTCGATTTTTGGGTCGTAATCCACTAACTCGCTCGGGTTTGTCCTGGTCATAAATCAAAAGCAAACAAAAATTAGTAACTTTGGCTAAGTCCCCGACAATGGCACCAATTTGACAACTCTCATTTTGATGTCAAAAAATTCCTTGTTCTCAATAATATATAAAAAAGATATATGCATTAAAGAGAATTAAGGGTTGATCCACAGGGACTTAGAAAATTCCCAATTTTCGGTTTTAATTGCTTTGACCAGGTGATATGCAGAAAATAAAATGGGGGGTTTGATAAAAAGGATTAAATAAGAAAAATTAATTTAAAGTGAAAATAAAGAAAATAGAAAATGTAAAGTTGAGAAAAAATATGGTAAAAAGTAACCTTAAGACTAGTTTTGACTCAATTCATTTCGGATAATCGAAAATGGATTTCACTTCAGGATTCACACCGGTTACAGTCTTCAAGGCCCTTTCTCTTGTAACTTATTTTTCATTTTAGTAACCGATTTTCCCAAAGCCAATCTTTGGAAATCTATCTTTTAATTGAACCAACTACGACAATCGTTGATAGTGCAAAAACAATTTTAGTTTAGGAAAACCCAACTCGAATTATGTTGTCTCTCTGAGAATCGAACCCGATCTCAATTTCTCTTAGTAGACCTCCGTTAAGTGTGTTCACAGGAAGTCGGATTTGCTATTAGCCGATTGTTCCTCCCAACTTTAAATTAGAACAACATCTAGACCAACGAGCTCTTTTTGAAATGAAATTATTTTGATTTTAAAATGATAGGTTGGTTACCTATCCTAGTTTCCAGAAAAATAAGAATAACATCCTGAAGATGTTAAATGTTTTTCAATTCTCACATATTGAATTGAGTCATTGCTTAGCCTTTCGACTTGTGAGAAAATTAGCTAAGCATGATAGAAGTCATGCTTATCATGTTTAAAAATAAAACTTGAAATAAATTAAAAATGAAAACAAAAGAAAAAAAAGACTTTTATCAAATAACTGAAAGCTGATAAATTAAATCTAAAAACAAGTGTGTTTTAAGCCTTACCCCCAAGGGGGTATTTATAGCTTCTAAAATACTAGAGATAAACATATAAATTAAAAGAAAAATAATCCTAAAGATAATTCTATTTTTTTCAAATTTAAAATTTAAAAATAAATCTCCTAAGATATCTCTGCCCGTCCACCTTCCAGAAGGTGCCGACTAGATCATCCAGAAAACTACTACTAATTGGACATTCTAGAAACTACCACATCAGACTGTGTCATGCCAAGAGTCATGCCCATGTCTCAAGTCATTACCGAATAATAATAAAAATTACAGAATGTGCCCGTTTTACTACTAATTTTAAAAAATAAGATCCTAAACGAAAATAAGCATAATACAACAAAATTAGCAGTAATAAATCCACAAGACTGAAGAATTATCAAACAAATGTTATCGATTTAGAACACTCAACAAAGGGAATCAAGTTGAAAAGGCAATAGTTTGTGAGTTTAAAAGGGGAAAATCTATAACATTCTCGAGAGTAAACACGAGAGGAGTGGAGTGAAATCTTTCTTTTCTAGTTAGGCTTTGTGACTGTGCAATGAGGTTTATTTTTGTTTATCTTACTAACCATGTTATCAATTTAGAACACTCAACAAATAATTCTAGTTGTTAAAAGGACTTTTAACATACAAATGATAGAGAATGAACTACGACGAGAGAACATCTTTTATACTCGTTGTCATATCAATATGAAAGTTTGCTTCATTTTCATAGATAGAGGAAGTTGTACCAACATTGCAAGCACCACAATGGTTGAGAAACTTGGATTAAAGACTAAAAAGCATCCAAGTCCCTAAAAATTATAGTGGTTGAATAACGGAGGAGAACTAAAGGTTACAAAGTAAGTGTTATCCCTTTCTTAATTGAAAAGTACAAGGATGAAATGCTTTGTGATAACTCTCCAAAAGAGTTTTTTTTCTACCTAAGTTTAGTTTGAACTTAAGCATCATTAGAATCAAATTAGGAACATTTTAGATTTATTTTATCATATTTTGCATCATTTCCATTTTGGAAATAGTTGGTAGAACTTGAGCTATTTTTGTTGTTTTATACAGAATATGGTACTCTAATTTTGTGGCAATACTCAATGTTATAGTTAATACTGTGAAACAATACTATATTAAATTGTTGTGCAGAACTGGCAGTAACTGCTGAGTCATCAGGAGGTTATAGAAAATTCTAGAAAGAGTACAACTGTCAGGGAAACTGTCAAATGACCAAAATATCTTGATATTTTTAGACTATTCTTATTGGTTGAAGTTTTGACTAATTTGTCTTATATAAAGGGGATAAAGTCACACATTTTACACCTCTACTCCTTTAGTTTTATTTTCCACAAGTTTCTCCTCAAATGTCATTGCCAGCTAGACTTTTCGCTGGGACGTATATCAGCAATTGGGGAGAAACATCGTGTAGCAACGACGATTGTGTAGAGCTCTACTTTAGTGTTCATCTATTTGCTTGAAAAAAGGGAGTGATGTATATTAACTTATTTTATTTCCTATTTTCAGCTATTATTGGGATTTCGAACTTATGATGTTTGATGAAATGTTTTTATTATGACTATTGTTGATGCTTTGTTTTATTGCGCTACAGTGTTTATAAGATAAGTTTAGAAATGGATTTATCTTTATGTATTTGATTTTGCTAATATTTAGAAATGAATGTTTGGTTTCACATACTATTGTTCACAACATTGGTATTATGAAATTAAGTTAGTATATGGAAACATATGCTACCGATGGTTCTTGCATTGTTAATTATTTGGTTGCTTGGATTGATAAAAGTTAATTTCATGACTCATGAAAACAAAATGTCTTAGAAATCTCATAATGAAAATAAGCCAATGACAATCGCATCTACTAATATTCTGATATGTTACTCTCTGAGGTATTATTACATTGCTTGACAATTTACCATACTGATTTTGTACCTTTGCTATAAACCTGTCAGATTTCTTTTAAACTTCTTTTTACAAAAAAGTAACAATTTTATTTTACAATACATCACTCTCTGTGGGTTGGACATTCGATGCTCTATAGAATCCACTTTTATTACTTGAAATATGACACGTGCGCTTGTCTTATGTTGTAGCAATATAAGTAGCATCAAGTTTTTGGCATTGTTGTCGGGGAGTAATGGTATTGCATTAGAGTTGTTTTCATTTTCACTAACTTTGTTTATTTTCAGTTTGTAGGTATTTTTTCTTTTTCCAGTTTGATTTGTTTGTGTATGTCCCACTGAGATGATCAAGACTTGGAGCCGTTTGACCTTGAAATCGATCGTACGTTATGCCAACATCTTAGACTAGTAAATCAAGCAAACATGAACATGGGTGCTGGTAACAACAATTTTCCACCATTACAGCATGGTGTGAAAGAATTGTCGATTGGCAATGGAATTAATCAATCGAATTTCTACAACATCGATAACCATAATAAGCCAATTTGAATCATTTTGTTCCTATTATGGACGATCTAAATCATGGCATCGTGCAACCTTCCATCCGTGTTGTACACTTCGAGCTAAAACATGTGATGCTTTAGATGATACAGTTAATGGGGAAGTATAGTGGTTCATTTACTGAAGCTCCTAGAGCACACCTTCAAGCATTCATGGAAATATACGACTCTTCAACAAAGGGTTCCGAAGGAAGAATTGAAGTTGTTTCCCTACTCATTTCATGAAAAAACTAAAGCATGGCTCAATTCGTTACCATCTGGTGCTATAACATCGTGGAATGAGTTAACACACAAATTTTTACGATTCAACCCTCCAAACATGAATGTTAAGCTGAGGAATGATCTCACATCATTCAAGTAGTTGGAGGATGAGAACTTATATGAAGCTTTGGAGCGTTTCAAGGATTTGCTGCGTAAATGTCCAATGTATGGTTTTTAGTGTTAGACGTAAATGGAAATGTTCTATAATGGATTGACTATGCAAACGCGAATGGTTGTTGATGCTTTTGCTAATGGAGCATTGTTGGATAAAAACTATAATGAACCCTATGTCATACTAGAAAGGATATCCAATAATGACTATTAATATCTCAATACAAGGAATATGATCTAAAGACGTAGTGCTGCAACAGTAGATAATAATGCTATCAATACAATGGCCACACAAATGACAGTATTAACTAAAATGATCAAGAATATATAAAAGTCTAGAGGAATGTATGGGGTAAAGGTTGCATCAATTGAATCTTGTGTTTATTGTGGAGAGAATCATAGTTATAAGGAATGTACACAAAATCATGAATCGGTGTACTTCGTGAGGAATTACAATTGGAATGCCAACCCTAATGCTTATGGGAACGCTTACAATTCAATTATCGGTCTCATCCCAATTTATCTTGGAGAAACCAAAATGTATAGAATCCCAATATGGTGTTGTAATCAAACTTTGGGAATATGCACAACATTATTAGCCTCAGCAACGATACATTCAACAAATGATGCCTCAGTATCAGTAACAATATCAGTCAGTGCAACCATAACAATGCCATAACCAGCAACATTATCAAGGACGAAAATCTAATTGATTTTTATCCTCAATTTCTCTTCAAACCTTGTTAAAGAAATATATTTCAAGGAATTAAGCCATAATTCAAAGTTAGACAACATCGCTAAGAGCCATGGAGAAACAAATGGGCCAATTAGCTAATGCTATGAGTAATAGACCATATGGAATACTGCAAAGTGATAATGAAGTTCCTAAGGCGCATGGGAAAGGTCAATGTAATGAGCATTACAAGGCTATCACTACATGAAGTGGCTTCATATTGGGAAATTAATTGAAGAGTTTAACAAGAAAGATGATGATAGGCATTGACAATAAGAAAAAGATAAGGAATTGGAAGTGGGATTTGAAATGTCCATTGTGGCTTATATAGCAAATGATGCAGGACAATGTAGTAATTCTAGGGTTAAATGTCACTTCAGTAAAAATTAACGAGAGGTAACAGAAAGGACTAAAATGAAAACGAACTAAAAGTTCAATGATTGTATTGTATGTTTCAAAAATTGGGTGACCAAAATGCAAGCGTCCTAAAAGTTTGATGACTATTTATATACTTTACCCTTAATATAATTATTAAATTTTTGAATTACTCTTGTTTTAGTCACTTGGATGTTAAATGCAATATAACATGGTCATGTAACATTTTTTTATTGTTGACATGGATTACTTTTTGCTAACACAACTATTATATATAGCCAATCTTATTTTTCATTATTATTTGATTTTCTTCACCAAAGATGAAAAATTTATAGTTTTATATCTACAACAAAATCATCTTTTTTTCTAATGTATTTTTCGATAACTCAAGATATCGATGAATTTGTCTCAGTTTTTCTACCACTCTATTAATTTAAATTTTAAAAAATCCCATAAAATTCAATCCTAAAACTAAAACACACGAATAACAATACCACTTTAATCTACATTTTTCACCTTCTGATTATCTTAGCTCTTAATATATAGCCCATTTCCTCCTCCATCTTTCTATAATTAGGGTTTAAAAGAAGATTCTCCCTCATCAAAAAAATCATAAATTAATTTTTTTCAAAAAAGAAAGAGGTTTTGAGGCATTTTAAAATATAGATGCTATGTAATAACACATTTAATAATTGAATAATTAAAAATGAGTAATTTAAAAATGTAATGATTAAATTGAAAACTTTCAAAATCTAGTGATAAAATAGAAATGGTGTTAAAATTAAGTGATAATATTTACTATTTATCTTAAATTTTAACTTCAACTTAAAATACCGATTTAAACTACCTGATGGTAGTTTATCCTAAATTAAACTGTCGTTCATAAAGTCATTTTAGCTTTTTAAAACATTGTATTCCCTTGGATAACGTTGTCCGAAAATTTACCTTAGCTTTGTCAAATTTTCGTTGCTGTCCACTATTTTGGCACTATTTCAGTACAATTTGATTACTCCTAACTTCTTCTTCTTCTACTCCACACTCTTTCCGTTTCTATCTAATCCGATTTGATTTGATTTAATTAATTCTTTCTTTCTTATAATGGAAAATTCGAGCCATATGGTAAATTTTGCAGTCCTAAGAAGATTCATCACTACGTTCAAAAAAGATTGTAAAAAACATTCTTCCCCGACGATCCCTTTCGTAAGTTCAAACACGACAGACCATTGCAGAAGTTCAAGAAGACGGTCCAATACTTCATCCCCGTGTTCGAATGGTTGCCTACCTTCAATTTCCGTTTACTCAGATACGATTTGCTCGCCGGCATTACCATTACAACCCTTGCAATCCCTCAAGGGATCAGTTATGCCAAACTGGCTGATCTCCCGCCTATCATCGGCCTATGTAAGCTTCAACCTCTCTAAAGCAAAAAAATAAAGTATGTTTTGGTTTCGGTGATGATGTTTTCATGTGGCAGATTCGAGCTTCGTACCGCCTTTTATTTACGCACTGTTCGGGAGTTCGAAGAACATGGCGGTGGGTACGGTGGCGGCATGCTCGTTGCTCCTTCATGAAACCCTTGGAGCTGCGGTTTCGTCAAAAGATGATCCCACATAGTACCTTCATTTGATTTACACTTTCACTTTCTTCACCGGGATTTTTGAGACTGCTTTAGGGTTTTCAAGGTCCGTCATGCATTTCATATTATACGTGGAACTTTATGTATAAATTATATTGAGGAATATATATGTTAGTGGGGTAAAAAGATATTCTATAAACGAAATTAGGGATGAATAATTTACTCTAATATGGTGGATTTTAAGTCGATTCTATAAAGTCAGATTTTTCTAAAAACAAGTAGATTTATGTTAGATTTTTTTTAAGAAAAAAGACAGATTGAGTCATATTCGAATTTATGATGAAAAATATTCCACCTGATCCTGTCCGAGAATAATAGTATGATTGGTCTTTATATTTTTAGAGATAATTGGTATAATATATTTACATATTTTGCAATTGAATCTCTATTTTACCTAAAAAAAATGAGAAATTTACACACATATATCTATATATATGTGTTAGGTTGAATGTAACTTTTTGCCTTCAAAATCGTTGAGTTTAGTTCGAATGAAAGTTCCCTAAATTCAGTTCGATAAAATGACAGGTGAAGTTGTTTTATGCTCAGATAAAGTTCAAATAAACTAAAAATTCAATCCATGACCATCTCTAAACGAGATTATATTGATGTCATCTATGTTATTTAAGGGTGATAGGTTTCAGGGTCTAGGATTTGTCGTGTTTAGATTTATACTTTAGAGATGAGTGTTATTAAAATAGATATATTTGTATAATTTGAATTTTACATAATATTTATATCAAATAATCTCTCTTATATTAATACAAGAGCCCATTACATTAAAAATTGATGATGATATTTGTTCTTACACGTTATAAATTTGTTCAGACTGGGAATATTGGATGGTTTCTTATCGCATTCGACCATCACTGGTTTCATGGGAGGGACTGCCATATGAATTTGCCTGCAACAATTGAAAGGCTTACTTGGTTTAAAACATTTCACCACTGATACCGACGTCGTTTCGGTTATAAAAGCAGTTTTCCGGTACAAAGACGAGGTGAATTGGTTTGTAGAATTATGAATTGATGAGCAAATTAACCGTTTAATTAGTTATTATGATCTTAATATTAGTTTGTTGGATGGTGAAGTGCAAGTGACAAAGTGTTGTTGCTGGCTTAGTCTTCCTTTGTTTCCTGCACACGGCTCGATATGTGGTGAGCAAATATCTCTTCTAAATAAATCAAACCATCACTCAACATTATCGATCTTATTTTTAATTAAAAGAAATTTATTATACGAAATACTCCTGCTGACAAAAAATATAATCTTTGTTACCATGTATAAATTTATGGAGAAGCAAAGAAAACCAAAGCTGTTCTGGGTATCAGCTATGTCTCCTATGGCAGTTGTTGTGGCTGGTTGCCTTTATGCATATTTCGGAAAGGCTGAGCAACATGGAATAGCAATCGTGAGTTCGTTTTTCCATTATTTCTTTATAATTTTTCTTGGCAAAAGGGTAACTTTTGCCTCTATAGTAGACATAATTTATCATTTTCGTCCCTATCATATTTTTGCGTCAATTTAGCCCTCGATGTTGCTCAATTGCATCATTCTATAACCACTACCCTTAACTTAAAACCCTAAATTATAAACTCTAAACCACAACCCTATTACCTCTAAATACTAACATTTTATAATTTAGGATTTTAGGTTAAGAGAGGGTATAGAGTGATGCAATTAAACAACTTGAGGGCTAAATTGATGCGAAAAAACGATAAGAGCAAAAATGATAAATTTGGTCTACTAAAGAAACAAAAGTGACCCTTAAGCTTTTTTCATCTATCCTATATGTTTCACAGATAATATAAATTAATTCATCAAATATTAACTTTTTTTTCCTTTACTTGCATGTATATTTTTTTATATAAAAAAATTAGTTAAAGGTGGGTGACTTGAAGAAGGGATTGAATCCTATATCAATTATGTAACACTCATCTCCCGTATACTTTTCCATACACGAGATACATATGTCACATCACTTTTAAAACAGTTCCGCATTTGAAACCCGAAAAAATTTGTTCTTTTTATAAAATATTTTAATTTACTAATAATAAAACATGCATTAAACTTAAATAGATAAACAAAAAGTAATGTTCAAACACTTCACCATTTTACATCATGTTAAATCAAATGCTTTTCAGAGCATTTCTAATAAATCTATTACATGCCAACTAAATACATCAAAAGTAGACATGAATGTCGTAATGTTACTGACGAGGCGACACTTGCTTTGATGTTCGATCATCTCCTTACTCCGTATGTATTATAACCTACGTGTGAAATAAACACACGTTAAGTATTTACTTAGCGAGGCAAGACTAATAGTACGATGAAATCATGATATCATTATTTCATATCGATCAAATACCAATTCATTATTTTCAAGTTATTACCATTTCGTTGCGATGCACACGTAGTGCCCATATGGTCATTCATAAACATATTATGAATTCCGTGGGTTGCACACATAGTGCCAAAACGGTTGTTCATCAACATATGATGAATTCCGTGACTTGCACACATAGTGCCAAAACGGATGTTCATCAACATATGATGAATTCTGTGAGTTGCACACATAGTGCCTAAACGGTTGTTCATCAACATATGATGAATTCATTGAGTTGCACACATAGTGCCGAAACGGTTATTCATCTACATATGATGAATTCCGTGAGTTGTACACATAGTGCCCATACAGTTGTTCATCAACATATGATGAATTCCGTGAGTTGCACACATTGTGTCATTTGTTAAACGCCATGCATATATTAAGAAATCATACATCTATGACTATCATCACATATAGGTACATAATAATTGCACTCACCTGGCTTGCCTCGCTATTATATCCTAAAACGCAAATCTAATTACTAAGCTACTTTACCTTTGCCTTTCGTTTTGCTTGACTCGGGAGTTGATTTCGATCTACTCAAGCATTCATTAAAGACACGTACAATATCAATTGTTAGCATATTCCCTAACATTTATACTTAAATAATACTCAAAAGTACTATTATTAAATTTTCTATAACAAACTCAGCCTATCTTACAATTTTTGGCTCAATAGTATCGGTACCCCTACCATGGTATCGATACTACTATACTATGATACCGATACTCTATTATGGTATCGATACCATTTTTGCATTCTGTTATTAATTGTATCGATACCTTCCTCATAGTATCAATACTACTTACATCAGTATCGATATTGCTCGACTGATTCTTCCAATTTTAAGGCTATAGTATCGGTACTATTCTATCAGTACCGATACCTTTACCCATATTTTCCATTTTTTAGCCCGATTCTTACCCAAATTTGGTCAAATTTCCTTATGTTTAAACGCAACAATACTATTAAACTCTTCTTTACTTATCCCTACTAACTTTCCTTCATTTAGCTTCTTAAAACATCTAAATTCTCCCAAGAACATTTCAATCTAAGAATCACACCACTTTTTCTAACATGTTTTTAAACTCATCCAATGCTTCTAATCTCTCATTTACTTCTAATCTCTCATTTACTTCTTTGACAAGTCAAATATACTAGTGAACATCAATAAAAACTCATTCTTAACATATCATTCCAAAACTCATTTTCTTAAATCTCTAATATTTCTTTCATCTCTTAGTTTTGACCTTATTTAACCCTACCTTAAGTCTCTATGATATTAAATGCTTCAAAAACAAACCAAAAACAAAAGGAAAGGCTACCCAAATGAAATTTTACATTTGGCTATGGAGGAGAGTTTTTCCACGGGAAAGAGGAAGAAAGAGATAGCTTTTGGTAACTTACTTCCCTATTCTCTTTACTTTAATACCTTATTAAGAATGAATTTTAAATTCATGTTCCTTTAAAGGACTAAAATGCCCTCTTTATTCATCTATTATTACAAATTAGTCTAAAATACTATTCCAAATCATTTTCTCATCTTTTATCATTTAATCAAATAAATCCTCAAATTTTAAAACTTTTCCTTAATAAAATTCATCATCGAATTTAAAGAAGTACATGAAACGAAGAGGTGTGGAAACTACTTCCTCATATCCTTTTCTCTTTCCCAAGTAGCTTCTTCTACCTTATGATTCTGCCAGAGCACTTTTACTAATGGAATCCTTTTGTTACGCAAATCCTTGATTTTTTTAGCTAAGATCCGTATTGGTTCTTCCTCATAAGTTAAATCTGGTCGGATTTCTATCTCTTCACGTGTGATGACATGGGATGGATTTGATCTATACCTTCTAAGCATCGATACATGGAAAACATTGTGGATCTTGTCCATATCCTGAGGTAAAGCTAATTGATAAACTACGGGTCCGACCCTTTTTAAGACCTCATAAGGTCCAATGAATCTGGGACTCAGCTTTGCTTTTCGCCCAAAACGTAATACCTTATTCCAAGGCGATACCTTTAGAAACACTTTGTCCCCCACTTGAAATTCGATTTCCTTTCTTTTCAAATCAGCTTAAGACTTCTGGCTATCGGAGGCTATCTTTAGATTACTCTGGATAATTTTCACTTTTTCCTCCATTTCTTTCATCAAATCCGGGCCAACTAGGTCTCAATCTTTTAATTCAAACCAATTTAATTGTGTTCTGCACTTCCTCCCATACAAAGTTTTATACGGGGCCATTTTAATACTCTATTGGTAACTTTTGTATACGTAAATTCCGCTAAAGGCAAATACTTTTCCCATGATCCTTTAAATTCAATCACATATGCCCTTAGCATATCTTCCAATATCTTAATAGCTCGTTCTGACTGCCCATCTGCCTGTGGATGAAAAGTTGTACTGAAATTCAATCGAGTACTCAATGCCACTTGTAAAGACTTCCAGAATCTTGAAGTAAACCTTGGGTCTCGATCGGACACTATCGATATAGGCACTCCATGCAGTCTAATTATCTCTTTTATATACAACTCTGCATACTTATCCATTGATTAGTCTACTCAAACTGGAATAAAATGAGTTTTCTTGGTCAATCTGTCCACTATTACCCATATCGAGTCCTTTTTACCTGGTGAAAAAGGTAGCCCCGAAAAAAAATCCATTGTAACTTCCTCCCACTTCCACTCAAGAATGGTTATCGGCTGTAGCAATGCAGATGACACTTGATGTTCAACCTTTACTTGCTGACATGTTAAACATTTGCAACAAACTTTGTTACAACTCTTTTCATACCAGGCCACCAATAACGACTCTTCAAGTCCTGATACATCTTATTCCCGCCTGGGTGCATTGTCAAACGGCTATAATGTTCCTCGCAAAAGAATATCTTTCTTCAAATCATCATTATCAGGAATGAAAATCTTCCCCGATAATATAAACATCTGTCGACTCTCATTTCAAAGTCTTTGGCCTCCTCTTTTTCAACTTGCACCATTTTCGCCAAACATTTTTCATCTCGACCTTGCAGCTCTTTTACCCGATCCAAAATCATCGGCTTTAACTTTAGTTTAGTAATCAAGGCACCATCTTCCTTTAAAGACATATGCACATCTAAATCTCGTAGAGTTGTAAAAGTCTTTCGACATAGCGCATCAGCTACCACATTAGCTTTTATAGGAAGATAATCAATAGTCAAATTATAATGTTTTAAGAGCTCAATCCATCTTCTCTGTCTCAAATTCAACTCTTTCTGAGTCAGCAAGTACTTTAAACTTTTGTGATCCGTGTAAACATGGCAACGCTCACCGTACAAATAATGGTGCCAAATTTTCAAAGTAAACACTACTTCTTCCAATTCCAAATCATGTGTTGGATAATTTTTCTCATGATTCTTCAACTGTCTTGAGGCATAAGCCACTACTTTCCATTCTTGCATCATCACACATCCCAGCCCATTATTGGATGCATCACTGAAACCAATATAATCTTTACCTGACTCAGGTTGCAAAAACACTGGGGCCTCCGTTACTATTCTCTTTAGCATTTCGAAATTTTCTTGGAATTTTCCCGTCCAAACAAAAGGCATATCCTTACGTAACAACTTAGTTAGTGGCAGAGCTAACATTGAGAAGTTCTTCACAAACCGCTTATTATAACCAGCCCCAAGAAACTCTGAACTTTCATAAAATTATTTGGGGGTTGCCAATCCACTATGGCTTGAATCTTTTTAGAATCTACTCTTATGCCTTCCGCAGAGAGTATATATGACCAAGGAAAGCAATATCAGCTAACCAAAATTTGCATTTGGACAGTTTCATATACAACTTGTTTTCACGAAGTATCTAAAGAAAACTCAAAGATGAGCATCATGTTCCTCTCTTGACTTGGAGTACACTAATATACCATCTATAAATACCACAATGAATTGATCCAAGTAAGGTTGGAATACTCTGTTCATTAAGTTTATAAATGCTTCCAGAGCATTAGTAAATCCAAATGGCATTACCATGAATCCGTAGTGTCCGTACCGAGTCCAAAAAGTTGTCTTTGAAATATCATCCTTCTCGATCTTTAACTGATGGTACCCTGACCTCAGGTCTATCTTAGAGAACACTGTTGCGCCTTCCATTTGATCAAAAAGGTCATCAATCCTCGGAAGATGATACTTGTTATTTATCGTTACTTTATTTAATTGACGATAGTTAATACATAACCGCATAGACCCATCCTTCTTTTTCACAAATAGCACAAGTGCCCCTCAAGGAGAAACACTGGGTCTGATAAATCCTTTATCAAGCAGTTCTTGCAAATGTGCTTTTAAATTCCTTAACTCCGTTGGAACCATTCTATACGGAGCCATAGAAACAGGTTCGGTACCCATGTAAACCTCAATCTTGAATTCTACTTCCCGATATGGAGGTAAACCTGGTAATTATTCCGGAAAAACCTCTGGAAACTCCTTAATAATTGGAATATCATTTAATCTCACTTATGGTACTCGAGTGTCTATCACATTAGCTAGAAAAGCTATG